TTTTTTTTAAAAAAAGGGATTGATAAGATGTTGGTTGAAAAAGGGAAAAAGAAAAATAAAAAAAAAACAGTCAACAAAAATTAACTTTGATGAAATAATGGATCATGGTAAAAAAAAAAAAAAAAAGCCATAAATCTATGTGCAGTATTCCCGTAGCGCTGGAGTTCTCCCATTCTCCTTGATCGATCAACTTGGTCTTGGCTTGCTGGCTGTTTGTGCTGATCTTCTGGGGGAGGGGCCTGTTGCTGTGGTTTCCAAATGTCTTTGCCGGAGGCGGAATTGCCCCGCCCTTGTCCGTCCGGGCTAAAGAAGCTGCTCCGGTTTGTTCTCAGGAGCTTTTGTTCCCTGCAAGCTCTCGGTACAGCTTTGGAGGACCAGGGCAGAAATGGTGGCCTCCCAATCTCCACCCGGAGGAGCTGAGAACTCGGGGCCCCGCTCCTCAGTGTGTCCCCAGAGAAAAGCAGTCACTCCCGTGTCCCCGGTCTCCGGCCGCACTCCGTGCTCACCGGCCTGTGATCGAGCGTTGCTATCTCTGGCACCCGACCCCGCACGGAGTCTCCAAACCCAGCAGATCCCTGCAGTGCGTTCCCGCACCGCTCCTCCCCGGGAAGGAAGGGGAGTCTCCCCGGATCTGCTGCTTGTTGGGTCCTTGCTGGGGGAGCCGTGCCCCGACTGGGCCGCAGATCACAGTTTATGGCAACCCCCAGCTGAGAGCCTGCGACTCTGCTCCGTCTCTGCAGCCGGCTTCCCCACTCTGATACCTGGGAGCTCTGGCGCACTCAGGCACCCCCGGTCTCTCCGTGACCCCAAGGGTCCTGAGACCACACTGTCCCGGGAGGATTCCACCCCCCGCTTAGCCACTGCAGCGACGTCCCTCAGCGGAGCCGACTTCTAAAAGGTCCGATTTTGTGCTCCGCGGCTCTATCACTTGCCAGAAGCGGCCGGCGGAGGCCCCTCCCCCGCCGGCTATCCTCCCGAATATCGCCTCGGATTCACTTCTCCGCACGTCCTACCTTCCAGAAAGTGGTCGCTTCTCTGTTCAGAGAGTTGTTGCTACTCTCCTCTTTGATCTCCTGTTGAGTTCGTAGGTGTTCAGAATGGTTTGGTCCCTATTCAGCTGAATTCCTGAGACCAGAGGAAATCTAGGTCTCCTACTCCTCCGCCATCTTGCTCCCCTGACTCCTCTTTTAAAGAATCCATCTCTGAAACTAATAATATATTACATGTTAACTAATTGAATTTAAATAAAATAAAATTAAAACAAAACAAGTAATCCATCTCATTTTCCTATTAAACATAGTTGCATTTTTCAGACCATGCCCCAGTTTTTGGTTCTTAATATCTCATTGAAGCCATGGAACACTTTCTAAGCTCTACATACCCGCACACATGGCATTATTGGGATGTTTCACAGTTTTCTGTGGGAGTGTCAGATTGTCATATATTATTATTTTTTTATTTTTTATTTTTATTCTTTTAAGTAATCTCTGTGCCCAGTGTGGGGCCTGAGCTTATGACCCCGAGATTAAGAGCCACACGCCCTACTGACTGAGCCAGCCAGGCACCCCTCATGGTATTATTTTTTAAATAAGAGGTTTGTTTATGGGCGCCTGGGTGGCTCAGTCATTAAGTGTCTGCCTTCAGCTCGGGTCATGATCCCAGGTTCCTGGGATCACGCCCCACATTGGGCTCCCTGCTCAGCGGGAAGCCTGCTTCTCCCTCTCCCACTCCCCCTGCTTGTGTTCCCCCTCTCACTGTGTCTCTGTCAAATAAATAAAATCTTTTTTTTAAAAAAAAAGAGGTTTGTTTATGATAAAGACTATTAAAATTAAAGAGGAAGATTTTTCTGCAAGGTAAAAGCTTATCATTTTAGTATATCTATACAGTGAAATCTTATTCAGCCACAAAAAGAAATGAAGAATACATGATACAACATAGATAAACCCTGAATACATTATGCTAACTGAAAGACTTGGGACGTATAAGGCCAGATATTATATAATTCCATGGATATGAAATGCAGGAAATTCATAGAGACAGAAAGTAGATTAGTGGTTTCTGGGGACTAGGAATAGGGGGATATGGAAAGTGACTGCTAATTGGCATGGGGTTTTCTTTTCAGGTGGTGAAAATGTTCTGGAATTAGATAGTGGTGATGGTTGTACAACCTTATGAATATACTAAAAACCACTGAATCGTACACTTTAAAAGGGTGAATTTTGTGGTATGTGGATTACATGTCAATTTTTAAAAAGCTTACTATTTTAAGATAAAGTATCTCTATGTAAAGACTTTAAAAACATGATTGTCACAAAACTGGGGTATGTGATAGTGGGTTACAAGGTAAATGATATCATCACTTTCTTACTGTATGACTTTGGATAAATTATTTAACCTCTGTAAGTTCATTTCCTCATCTTTATTTTTTTTTAAATTTTATATATTTATTTGACAGACAGAGACACAGTGAAAGAGGGAACACAAGCAGGGAGAGTGGGAGAGGGAGAAGCAGGCTTCCCGCGGAGCAGGGAGCCCGATGCGGGGCTCGATCCCAGGACCCTGGGATCATGACCTGAGCTGAAGGCAGACGCTTAACGACTGAGCCACCCAGGCGCCCCTCCTCATCTTTTTTTAAAAGATTTTATTTATTTATTTGAGAGAGAGAGAGCATGCATGTGCACAAGCTGGGGGAGGGACAGAAGGAGAGAGAATCCCAAGTAGACTCTGTGCTGAGTGCAGAGCCTGACGCAGGGCTCAATGCCATGACCCCAAAATCACAATCCAACCCAAAATCAAGAGTCAGACACTTAACTGACTGAGCCACCTAGGTGCCCTATATTTCCTCATCTTAAAATGGGACTAATATGAATACTTTTACAGAGTCATTTGGAGGAGTAAATGTGATAATATTTATAAAGTACTAAACTTACACATTCTGGCTGTGCATGCCCATAGGGAGTCGTCTTAAGTATAATAAAACGCTGAAACTGTCATGATTATCCTAGGCCATACGTGGCATGAGGTTTACTTAGAAAACATTAGAAAGAACAGGGAACACAGTTAACAAGCAGGGTGGCATCCAACACTAGTATAATTAGTTCTCCCACCAGTACGTGCCTCAGTCTGCATGACCAACCACAATTACTCTGTTTTGTTCCTTAAGTGAAAGGTCTGGGGTAAGAGAATGACATTCTCATGTACAGGGGTAGCCATAGGCCCTAAAGGAGACTAAAAGCTTTTATTACAACTTATTTATTTATTACACCAGAGCTTCCAAAGTCTCTGCAAAGGACATGTCCAGATATAGGAATCACCATACTCAGAAGCCCGAAGCCAAGACTTTTCCATCAGATGTTTATTGTGCATTTGTACTTTCTTCCAAATTGATGCAATTTACCTATCATGGTTCATACCCAGTGTTGCCAAATAACACAGTTGATTGACATTGTGTCTTTATCAGGTTTCTGTTGAAACACAGACCTAGAAAGTTAAGCAAGGGTCCAGTTTTCATGCAGAGGAGAAAGAGGTGAAAGTTTTTTTAACTGTTTATTTATAGCCTGACACTTGTTAAGTGCTCAATAAATATGCTCCTAGGGAAGCTTCCGGGTTTTTCACTTACTGTAAACTAGTCCTTTTCTTACCACTTAACAATTTCTGCGAAAGTCCAGGCTGTATGTCACATGTGTAAGTTTATTTGTGCTTTATCCTTGCTGTTCCAGTGTCCTTGCTCTACTCCATGCTGTTCAGCCTGTCATAACAGTTCCTCACCAATGTCTCCTCCTGCTTTGCTGAGCTTTTGTCAGTCTCCACCAAACTCTCTTTCAGGCTCAGAAGTTTTTCAGTGAAGGCTTCCCTGAGTTGGCCTCAGGTTGGTGAAACTTTGCAGTGGTTTGTTGCAAACTGGGGAAAGTGTTTCCCCTTTGGTTATCCAGAAGAGTTCCAAAGCAATGTTACTTTGGCCCCAATGTGTTGTAAGAATTTATTGATTAAACATTTCTTTAAGTTAATTACGTCTGTCCCTTCTCCCAGAATGTGTATATGTATCCAAAGAATTGAGTTGGCGGTAATTTTGAGTAGTAATTGTTACGTGGTACCCAGGTTTCTTGCTTCTCTCCTTCATCTTGGACTTAGGCCGGATTTGTCAGATTACACTCCTTCTTTCCCAGAGCAGGATTCTTCAGTACCCTTTGCACCATCAGTTCCCCAGACATGTAGAGACTTCATTAAGATTTTGAAGAGTGCTCGCTTTGGCAGCACATATACTAAAATTGGAATGTTATAGAGAAGATTAGCACGGCCCCTGCCCAAAGAGTATGAAGAAATACAGAATTGCTTTATTCTTTTGCCTTTAGTGCCATGATATCTCCAAAAATAAAAGCATTTTCATTGTTGCTCTTCTCATCCTTACCTTAATGTCAGTCTTTAGCAGTACTGAGGTTATTTCTCAAAGCAGAGTTGTTAAGCAAACTGGGACAGTATTCAATACGTTTCTTGAGATGGGAGTACCAGCTGTTCACTGGATTTTAATTTGCAATTTGAAGGAGACTAAAAGTGCTGATTTTTCTCCTGGGTTTCCATCCTGAGGGCATAGTGCATAGTCCTTAGGACAAATTCATTTTCGGTAAGCCTGAAAACTAATATCATAATAATTGGACTTTGTATTTTACAGTGTGTGGACCAGTTGACAAAGATCCAAACTGAATTACAAGAGACCGTGAAAGATTTAGCTAAAGGCAAAAAGAAGTACTTTGAGACTGAACAGATGGCTCATGCAGTACGAGAGAAAGCTGACATCGAAGCAAAGTATGTGTTTTAGCATTTCTGAAAAAGTAATTATGCAAATAGATGTTATTTTTGCCAGTACTTTGTTTTCTGTTAATATAGGGCATAGACTCATTCTTAGGTTATGTTGGTTTCATCTGACCTATAAATGTTACATACTTTCAAATTTTTCTTTTGTATTGGCTGATCTCATTTAAATTAATACAGCAAAATGAGAATATTCGATCAGTTTTCACATTAAATTGAATTTTGAAAAGGAAAAAGGACAAATGAACACTGTATTGAAAGCTTAGCAAAAGCTGGTTGAAGTTGCTATGGTGTCTGAGTATCTGGGTTTACGAGCCTCATTTTTTTCATGTTAGACTCTAAATCAGTTGTTATTGGAAATCCCTGACCCTCAGCATGCCACTGAAAGCACCTTGGACATCTCAAATAAATAAGAGCCCTGACCTCAGTATAGAAATCCTGCCCCAGGCACAGTTTCTCTCTTGTGTAAAATTCTAATATATATACCTTTTAAATGTATGCTTTAGCAACTGTGTGAATTTTACTTTTCATATATGTGAATCATAAACCCTTTATTTTGAGAATAATTAGGAAAAGAAGGAACTGACAATTGGTAATAAAAAGAGATATAAAGTGAGCAGTACAGATTTTTGCTATGACAAGTTGAGGAAAGATAAGAAGTTTTTGAGAAAAAATAAACCTGTGCCATAGATTGAGACTCTGAAGAGGTCTGTTAGAAAACTGACTCTGAACTCCTAGTCATGAAATCAGAAAGGTTATGAACACTTGTACAGACTAACAACCAGTTGGGGGGGGGTTCTTTCTAATATGTTTTTATCTATAGGAAGTTAAGCAAAATTTAGGGTTTCCTACAAAGTTTATTTAGTACCAAGGACTGGTAGATGAATACTCCTAAAATACTTAACATTACTGGAAAACATACTTAATATTTCCCTAATTTAGTTTATTGTCTTTATTATTTTATTTTTGTGGACATACAAATATTTCCCATACTTTCATAGAGTCAGTGAACCCATCTTTCCAATAAGACCTGAAGATTTTAGATTAGGTGATCTCCAATAGGAATTTCCTGTCATGATGGTTTTTAGGGGAATTTGTTTTTTAAAACTTTCAGGGATTCTAGAACAGAGAGTTGACAGATCTGTTAAGAGCATATATATAAATACCTGTGTTAGCCAAGGCACACAGAGTGAGAATGAGGACAGTTCCAAGGCTGTTCCAAAGAAGTATGGATTTGACAGGGTCTGATTCACAGATGATCATCGCAAAACACTGCCTTCTAATATGGCCCAGATTCAAAGGGGTTACAGCAAATTAGACATTTTATTTCAGTGTGTAGCTTTTCTGGAAAATTCATTCAACTGCAGAGTAAGAAATGCCACTTTATCTTCATTCACTCTCTAAATGTTTGTTGAATAATTACTTTATATTGGGTACTGTGAGTACAGAGATGAGTAAGATAAGCTTTGCATCTTCAAGAAATTTAAAGCCTAGAATTAAAGGCAAATGTGTTTAAAAGTAACTTTATGATTGTTTATTCACAGTAAACTGAAATTAAGTGCCTAAAGTCCCTCACGTAGTTAACTAATATGTTTACTGTAGTTGTATGAAAACACTGCTTTGTAAGCATAGAAAATAAATTAATTTTGCCTAATGAGAAAGGAAACCTTTATAGAAGAAGTGATGTTTGGACAGAGTCTTGAAGGACATGAGAAGGAAGCTCAGGAAGGGTAAGTAAAGACTGGACTGTGTGTAGTTTTGATAGATGATTTGATAGACAGATATGCATAGTAAGAGAGCGTAAAAAGGAAGAGGGATATCATTTGAAAGGAAGGATGGGTTCCATTTTGGATATGTAGGTTCTGAAGAGCCTGTGGGACATTGAAGTGAATAAATTTGGTAGGGAGTCATGTGTCTAACTCTCAGATGAGAATTTGGGCCTGAAGATCTTGCTTTGGGGGTTGATTGCCTATCAGATGATAATTATAGGGATGAAATCATATATAAGATGAGAAATTGAGTTTGGGACCCCCAAGGAGCGTTAACATTTGGAGGTAGATGATGAGGAGGAGTGTGCAGTACAATTCACAATTTGTATATATCTTACTTGTTTTAGATCATAATCTTTGAGCATAGGAACTGTATTATTTTATCTGTTACTAATACCTTAAGTACCACACAAGAATTATATGAGGATGAGCAAATGAAACAGAAACCAGAAACTTAAAACCTTATATTGGAAAATCCAGGTGCAACTCAGACTATTTGGATAATGACTGCAAGAAAAAGGAGAATTGAGAATACCCCCAAACAATCTTTTTAAATTTGAACAGGCTCTCTCAAATTTTAAAGTTTGTGGCCTTTTCTGATTAATAAAAACAGACAAAACCCCAGGAAATTCAAATATGGTAAGGTAGAAAATAACAGGAGTATTTTGGACCCAATTTTTTTTTAACAGTGGAGAAGTAGTTAGGATGCATACATGTACATCCCTGAATGTTTCTCTTTTGTTAGAAAGATGATAGGCTGCTTTTGCTATCCTCCTCACATTTGCTGTGCAGAGACTGGTTTGCTCCACCTTTCATTCCCAAGGGGTCTGCAACTTTACTTGGTATTATGGCGTAGCTTCCGGCACATGCACTGAATTCTCCCATGGTAATCACCATGACACTGCAGTCAAGACAAACATTGCAGCTTCAAAAATCACTGGTCGTGGGAGTGTTGTTATTCCTTACTGTTCGTCTTTTGACTTTCTCCTTCTGGTTATCTCTAGCTGTTTGGGTAAAACCAGCATATTTTTACTATTGATTGTTAGATTATGTTTCCTTCCCAAACTGAAAGGGATTGAGGAAAATAAGGACAGCAGAATGGGAGAAAATTAAATTGAACAAAATCATATAGGGCAGAGAGCCCAGGGACTTTCTCACTGTGTTCCAAATAATGTGTTAAGAGTGGAGGGAGCACACAGGCCGGCACCCAAACAAGAAGGACGTTTAATGGGAGAAATAATGGAATTAAGGACTTTGAAGAGCCTGTGGTAATATCATACTGTAGTTGCATTGCAGGTGTTGTTACAGCCTATTGTACACAGCCCTGAAAACCTGCTAACTTTTGCCTCCATAGATTGGTTATCTCCCTGGGTTTCTTTAAGCTTTCTTATAGGAACTAAAGTGTGTGTAATTGTATGATACTGGGAATAACCTATAGTTTGATGACTCTTGTTTATTAGCAGATAGCAATATATTTGTCAAGTTGTATTTTTGTCATTCAGGATATTTTTATTAAATATCCCAATATTTCCTGTTGCATTACAATATTCTTCCTGTAGTAAAATAAAGGAAAATAATCATTGCTCCTGGCCTTCCATTTTTTAGTTCTCTTTTGGAATAGCATTGTGGAAAAGCGTCACTGTTTTAAAAATATGGAATTATAATACTTAAACATTTAATATGATATAATTTGATAATTGTATAAAACATGCTGTATTTTCTGTTTTATTATAGATCTAAACTTAGTCTTTTTCAATCAAGAATCAGTTTACAGAAAGCAAGCGTAAAGGTGAGTTTTTGAAAACTGTATTTCACAATTGAGAAACCTTTCTTATTAAAAAAGAATTGGGTTTTTTGAGGGTTTAAGCCAATTATTTCCACCTAATTTAGAGAAGCATTTTAAAGTCAGTAATTTTGGGAAGAAGTTTCCTTCCCAGTTCATGGGAGTTTTCCGCCTAGATGTCAGCACTTTGGACACTGCTTGCTTCTCAACATTGCTTCAGAGATAGGTTTCTATACCTTATCTGCTTAGGTAGCCTGTTATCTATAACTCCTAGTCCAAGAGACTTGGTCCACGGGCTTTAGGAAATCTACAAATCTATTTCATTCAGATTTACACCCTTGAGCAGATACCCTGGGCCAGATCCAAGTGAGATTTTTCCTGTCAGACACTTGAGCTGTAGAATATCTAAGTAAGTTTAGTGACCTGCCTTTGGCTGCCAGGATCCCAACTAGCACACCGTTCTTTTGGCACATGAGGAATGCTGATTTTTTTAAAAAGATTTTCTAACTCCAACAGATTTACCCATGTCTTTGAAGAGAACGTACTTAACTTAATTTGGGAACCTTTATTTTCCCATCTGAATAAAATGAGCAGAATACTTCGAAGTATTTTGAAAAGCTTTGGAAATTTGTTAAGTGTAAATAACAAACATGTGAAAACACTCTCACCACGTGTAACAGTTATAATCATTGTTTATTTAATTCCTCATAGTGTTGAATAGTTTTATGTACAGATGAATATTTCTCTACCTGGTTACCTTTAGTCTTATTGGGGAGCCATTAATTGCCAGCTAAGAATGGTAGCCTCATATATCTTACAGTGCAATGTCAGTTTGCATTGATTTTTTTTTCCTCTTTTACTGTGTTTTAGTTAAAAGCCCGGCGATCTGAATGTAATTCTAAAGCTACCCACGCAAGAAATGATTATCTTCTTACATTAGCAGCAGCAAATGCACACCAGGATCGCTACTATCAAACAGATTTAGTTAACATTATGAAGGTAATACAGCCTTAATATCTGTGATTATTTGTTTCATTAAAGACAAAAACAACTCATGAGTTGAGGTAGATAGGATTGAGTCAGTAGAATAGCAGCCAGGCTTCTTTGCAGTTCGTTGAACTATACTTGATATTGTTTGGGTACCCTCTCTTTTTGGTAATTCTGAATTAATTTTTAATGTAAGAAAGTATTTAAAGCCAAATCACAGTAAAGAGACTAACTGTATTAGTTTCTAGCAGTGGCAGATATTTACTGTATAATGGTTAGTAATATATGATAAAAATAAGATGATTTTTTAAAGCTTAGATTTTTTAAAATTTGTAATTTTATCTTTAATTAATAGGTAAACTTGTATGTTAATGTTTTATGATTTTGAAGTACCCATGAGAAGAAGAGAAAATGTCTAGTACTTATATGAAAATGTCTCTACCCTAGGTATCTACTCTGAAATGTAGATAGATTTGTATTACACTTTCTTGTGTACTCAAACTCAATTTGGTCTTTCCCTGTTTATACATATATATGGTTTGTTTGTTTTTTTTACCTTTCACTGAAGTAAAAGAAAGGGGGTGGAGAAGAAAACCTTTTTAATCTACTGCCAGACCCCTGTTGCTGGTATACAATTTCTACATAGAGTGTATCTCATTTTCTCCTATCTTCTTAAGGACCCAAACATTTGATTATTCTTTCTCTTATATTTTCAACCGTCTTTTTCAAATATATTGTTCTTAGTGACTGTCAAAACACATTAATTGAATTGCTTGCTTTGCAAATCATAAGCTTTGAGAATGGGGATGTAACAGGAGTGGGTGCTCTTTTTTTTCTACAGTGGCTCTGGAAAGAGATAAACTCTGTCTGGAAACTATAAGTTCTTTCCTCTAAAGTGGACAGGACGTTACCTGGTAGCTTCAGAGAAAAACAGGAGTGATAGAAAGAGTCAAAGTGGGCTAAGAAGTATCCAGTTGCAAAATTTTTTCTTTCCTCTTTGTTCATTGCCTGAACTCTCCTTTTCTAGCTTCTATCCTGTTCTGAATTCTGGTTAGAACATAGGCAGTAAGAGAGACAAGGGATTGTTTTGACATCCCAGATGAGAGCTCTGTATACGTTTCCTCATGAAATGGTGGACCTAGAGGTTTAGGCATTTTAGTATCTTATTAGGTATTACATAGCGCTTCAGATTTACAAGAACTAACAAGAGACTTGACCTCCCATTATAACATGCTTTCTCTGGGGAAATATTTATGTATAGTCAATCTTAGACAACCCATTCATTGAAGAAGATATTCAATACAGTTTGCACTTAAAGTTGTGATTCCCTGTATACTGTCCACTATTAAATCAAAGCTGTTAACTATAATTTCCCCTTTAAATACTTTAAAATGAACATATTAGTTGAAGCAGCAGCAAAATAAAATCTTTGTTTTTTAAATTGAATCCACAGCCAAAAAGACCTCTTTCTTAAAACCTTTGATAAACTGGGAAAGGTACAGTATTATTTTGGGGGTGTACCTTCTGCCCAAAACAAAGAGGAAGTTAATGGGCCTGGCCAGCTGTCAGATTATATATCTTTGAACTTGCTTTGAAATCGTAATGCAGATACTTGATCAGCATTGGGTAGGTCATGCTTCAGATTACTCATTTCATGAGACATTGTAAGGTACTGGAATGATAAAAACGGAAGCAGGAGTCCTCTTTTGTCCCTTAAAAATAGACAGATGTATTCTCAGTTTTCATCTTGTGTGTGTGAATTCATTTTCTTCTTCATGTTAATTCTGTAGTCTGCAGTATTGGAAAACTGTCATCAATCATATTGTTAGCTACTTAGTGAGTTTCTGTCATTGAATTGACAGTGGCCCTTCAGTGCCTTTCTTAGAAAAGTCTTCTTTTCTGAATTGTTGTTAAGGTTATAATACCCTAGCTAGGACCTTTTTAAATAAATTCTATGAATAGTTTTGAAGCAGGAGGTTTGATTCATTGATTTAATCATAAGCATTTAATAGTCACTTACAGTGTTGTAGATACTGGACTACACTTTGGGGAAGAAGCAAAGATGAGTAAGACATTCTTTATCTTCAAAGAGCTCAGTTTGGTGGAAGAGAGAGAATTACATAGAAATGATTATAAATTAGAATAATGAAATTACTTACTGCTAGAGGACCATTATAAGTAATATTAACAGCTATCCTTTTTTTTTCATTGCTTAATATTACTCTGGCATTATCCTAATCACTTTAGGCATATTATCCTTTATAGTTTTTTCCTTTTTCCTGGTTAGAGTTCATAGTTCATTATTTAAATAACACTCTGGTCTTGAAATGATATGAAATGAAATTTCAACTCAAGATGAACCCAGATAACCTCTTTCTTTGTACCTGCATCCAAGTAGCCAAGTACTACTGAAGACAATCTTTCAACAGACAGAACACATTCATGTTCATAAATTAATGTGGAACCAGTCTCAAATGGACCCTGAGCAGTGGGTCCATTTGGACATTTCCCTGGTTAACTCCCTAATATTTTTCAACTTTTTTCCATCTCAAACCTCAGATTTACCTCTTCTCTTTCACAATTAGCAAGTGGTCTTTCTTCCTAATTTACAGAGAAAATACAAGCCATTAAAAGGGAACTCCATTATTTTCCCATTACCTGCCTTCATATGTGTTCAGGATTCCTCCAAGGAACCACAACAGCAGAGTTGTTCCTCCTGTCTAAAGATGATCCTTTCACCTTGGTTTTGGATATCTCGTTTTCTCCTGCCTTTTCAGGATCAAAACAACTGATTATTCTATTTTCTTCTTACATTTCTTGGACATTGTATTCTTAGGTTAAAAGGTGTAGAAGAAAAAAAAGAGTGTAGAAGAGACCTTAAATGCCCGAGAGGGAGAGCAAAGTAACTGTTGGGTGTCCAGCATGGCCAGGTGCTCTGTCTAGATACTTTAAATACCTTCTTTCATTTAGTTTTCGTAACATCTTTCAAGCTAAATATCATTATTCCTGTTCTACAAATCAGATTGCAGAGCCTCAGTGAGGTTTAGTGAATATGTATGTATTAGGACTTAAATCCAAGTCTCTATGACTTCACAGCCTGTGTTCTTTACTAGATATCACACTGTTCTTTTCTACATTGCATTCCAATCTTCTTGATAGTATAGATGAGTATAATTAGTAGTAGCCTACTGTGAATATCATAAATTCTGAGAGAACTGTAAAATAAAATTAATAATTGAAAATTACAAATTCTCCCCTGTTCTAGTTATTATAAAGAGTAAGATCATGTCAGTACCTAAATACCAATATTTAGACAGGTTCCCCAAGGAATATTTTGTGTTCCTTATGCCAGTACTCGTTAAAGCAGATACACCACTCTGTCTATCATCAGGCAGGCATTTTTTAAAAATTTTATTATGTTATGTTAATCACCATACATTACATCATTAGTTTCTGAAGGCAGGCATGTTTGAACTCCACACTAAAACAAAACAAAAAAGCTATTGTGAGGCCATGGAAACCAGACAACTGATTTTAGCACATTTGTAGAAAGCAGTTCTACTGGCTGATGGGAAGTAAGGTAGTTTTTTCCTCAAAACTCCTTCTTTTGTAGCATACTCTTGTACAATATATAAGCTGATATTTTTATAAGCTTGTGTAGTAGTTTCTTAATGGTTTGGCTGAGGAAAGATGAAGCACAGTGCATCAAAGTAGAAAAAGGAAGAAATGTCCAGCTAATCAGAATTTTAAAAGTTTAATAATACTAGGACTTTATTTCTAGAGAAATGTTTATTGTCTTCAGTGGAAGCTAAATGTATCTGGACTAACTGATAATTGGGCAAAGTAATAAAAGTTAAACATCTATCTATGTGAAAGAAATCTAGAAAATATGATAATATGGCATATCTTTCACAGATACTTGTTTTGGTCAAATGAGGAGAAAGTCATTATTGGTATCCAGCTCCCTTATTTTTGTTTTCTCCACCTAACCACTAATTATTTCAAAAGTTTTCCTCATTCACATGTGGACATGGAACTCATTTTTTTTTAAGTCATAGCTCTTTTGGTTTCCGTGCCACATAACTCTCTAGCTGTTGTACTTCTCTTTCACCCAATAAAGTTTGTTCACTTAACAAATTATCATGGAAGTCCCCAGATCTCAAGCTCGGCTCTCTGCTTCTCTTAATTTGCATCCTCTTTCTGTACACCCTCTTCTTAGAGTAATTGTTTGGCCCAATTTTTATTAATATTGTATCAGTCCCAAATCTGTATGTTAACTTTACCCTTATGATTATCCATGGTTTGCCTTTACATCAGTGGCTGAAATTTTCTCAGCTGGAGGCAACTCTTTGTTTCCTTGGTTTCAGGTGACAGCTGCTCTCGTTCTGTCCTCCAGAGCTCTAAAGCTGCACTGTACCGTATGGTAGTCCCTAGGTACACGTGACTGTTTAAAATAGTTAAAAATAAATAGAATCTTAAATTCTGTTCCGCAGTCATAATACCCACATTTCACGGGCTCCAAAGCCTCATGTGACTAGTGGTCACTGTATTGAATAGTACAGATACAGAATATTACCATCATCACAGGAAGTTCTAGTGGATAGCAGTGCTCTGAAGCTTTAGTTTTTGTTTTTTTTTTTAGATTTATAGTTTTATTATGGTAACAAATAGTTGTTACAGTGAGATCTATAAACATATACAGAATTATTATATTTAAATTCATATAGAACAGTATTTACATTTTTAAGTTAAACACTTTTGAAATCAGAAGATGAAGTATAGCTTAAGTTTACAACAAAAGAAAAATACACAAAACAAAAACAGACAAAGTTAGCAGTAAAAATATAACTGTCTGTTCTTGATACGTGGAAACTCTTTGTCAGAAAGCTCTATCTTCTTAATCTGATTGTCCAAATCATTAAAATATGGATGATTTGGTGCCATTGTGCCAGAAATTCATTTGGCAGAATCATAGGCTAACATTTTCGAGAGCAGATCCAAACCATTTTCATCCAAGTTTTTAACATGGGATGCTAGGCTTCCTGGTTTCCACTTGGGAAATGTGTTCTTCTAGTCCTGTA